CTCTGTAAATGTTCATTAACATTTTAAAAAAAGGAAAAAAAATAAGATGTAAGTCGACTTTCTATTGGTGACCTCCACATGCCAACATGCCTCTTGCAAAGGGTCTCCTTCATCCTGCTCCAGAAGAGAAGAGGAAACACAGGAAGAAGTGCCTGGTGCAGAGTCCGAGTTTGTATTTCATGGACGTGAAAAGCCCAGGGTGCTCTAAAACCATCACAGTCTTCAGTTGTGCACAAACTGTAGCTTTTGTGCTGGCTGCTCCGCTGTTCTCTGTCAGCCTGCAGGAGGAGAAGCAAGGCTTACAGAAGGCTGCTCCTGCAGACGGAAGCCGCACTCAGAAAAACACGCTGAATCAAGAGGAATGGGAAACTATCTCAATAAACACAATTTGGATATATATTTTTAAAAGTTAGCTGGATCATGACAGTCCTCTATTTAAAGCTCCCATCTCATTCTGAACAAAGACCAAAGTCATTTTTGGCAGCTTACAAGGCCTGCACTGAATAAAGATGGCTGAAGAAGAAACGGATGCTTTTGATCTGTGGTGTTGGTGAAGAATACTGATTATCCCATGTTCTACCAAAAGAGCAGACGAATCTGCCTGGAGGAAGTGCAATCACGGTGCTCCTTCGAGGAGATGATGGTGAAACTCTCACGTGCTTTGGGTATGTTGTCAGGAGGGGCTAGTCTTTGGAAGAGGCATCATTCTGGGAAAGATAGAGAGTCAGCGGAAGAGAGGAAGATCTTTAACAAGATGGACTGACAGGGTAACTGTAACAATGGACTCGACCGTGCGGCAGAGATAGGACGGTGCAGGATAGAGCAAGATTCATATGTTCACATTGTAGTTGACTCAGTGGAACCTAACAACAACAACAACAACAGCCAGAACTTCTGCATGAGCTGACTTGTCCATTTCTTCTCTGTGCTAAGAGAGCCTCTTTCCAGTCCTCTGACTGCTAAACAAGTTGATACCGCAGGGACTTTGCACTTGCTGTTTGCCCCACCTGGAATATTCTTGTCTAAGGCAACCTCATGGATTGTTGTTTTGCTCTTCAAATGTCACTTTATAGGTGAGGCTTTCCTTGACCACCCCAAAGCCCCCCAAGCCCCCAGCATTCTGTACTCTCTGTACTTTTCTGTAGCACTTCTCACCATCAAACATACTATGTGTTTGCTGTTTACATTTCCTGCCACTAAAATGGGAACTCTATGAAGCCAAGGATTTTGCCTGTTTGATGATTGCTTTCTCTCTAGGTCCGCCCTCAAACAAGACCTGGCAAGTTTGTTGGGTGCTGTTGAGTCCATTCTGACTCATAGTGACCCTATAGGACAGAACAGAACTGCCTCATAGGGTCTCCTAGAAACACATTCTCAGGTCTTTTCCCAGGTTGTAATCTTGTGAGGTCTTTTCTTTCATGAAGCCTCCGGTGTGTTTGAACTAACAACCCTATGATTAATAGTCAAAGACTTAACTACAATGCCACCGGGTTTCCTTCATCTGGCACATTGCAGGGGCTTAATGAGTGCTCATGGAATAAAGATTGGATCAATCACTGAGTGGCAACTTTCTGTCAGTGGCACATAGGATCCTGGACATGAGGCCGGTCTTAGGGTGAAAGAGAGTAGACCCATGGTGCTCTGTTCATCCTAGAGAACTTGTGTCTGGGGAGTGGCCCAGGGTGAGTGGATGGTAGGATTCAGGATGCTAAGCCTGCAGGATGAGAGGCATGGCCCATCCTATCTTGAGGGTGGTCTGCTGAGGTCCAAGTCCCAGACCCCTTTGACCTGAGTACAAGGACCAAGGGAACCCCAGTGATAACAATTCTGGTCCCCTAAACTTTCAGGTCAAGTTGGAGTCCCAGCTTCCTGGTCCCAACTCTACAGTTGTAATTGATTCTGAAGTTTCTCCATTCACAGATGTCAGCTCCCAATGCCAAGCCCCTACCCCCAAACATATCTCATAGGGTCTGAGTCATACATCATGGTGGCGGGTGTGTGGGTGGGGGAAATCGAAGTCTATTAATCAAGGGCTAAGACATCCTCCTCACTAATCACCAAATTAATAAGCTCCCCAGTGAAGAGGTGGTGATTAATGAACCAATCAGCTTTCCCTGTAATTGGAGTGTGTAAGTGGAGAAGGGGGACACTGATAGATGGGGACAGTTAGCGAGGCTGTGGGAGGCTGGCTCCTGGTCCAAGGCAAGGGACCACCTTGGGTCTCATTTACTTTAAAGGTCAGATGGGGGAGGAAGTTTTTAGAGACTGTACCCCTAATCTAGGCCTTCCTCTGCACCCTCTGGTTCTCCACTGTTTCTCCTCTCCCTCATCTGCCCTTAGACATCACACTGCCCTGTGCATGACGGGTTTCCAGGGGCACCACTGATGGCTGAAGAGCATCACACGAACTCCCCTCCTCTTTCCCTTTCCCTTCAGTACAGGGGAGCCACCTCCTGACTGGTCGCCACTTACCCTCCAACTCATGCTCCAGGGTCAAAATATCAGTCTCTGTCCCTCTGCTGCCCTTTCTGTCTCGGGTGAGCTCCTCTGATGGAGTGGGGTGCTTTTCTTCCTATCTCCCCCCAAAATGACACAAACTTGTTTGTGTTCTGGAAACCTTCTCAGACTTGGGCTCTTCTGGGATGGGGGTGTGCCTTCTCTCAAATTGGAGCTCCTCAATAATACTCAGGTTGGGGATCCCCAAGTCTCTTCTCTGTTGTGTTTTTTTTAAGCTAAAGAAGCTTTATTAAGGGGTCTTCTGGGTGGAATTCCTTGGTCTGCAAGTCTCTTCTCTTAGCCTGAGGTTCTGGGAGGACAGGATTGTGCCTTACCCCAAAAACTAGAGCTCTCTTGATGAGGAAGACTTCCCCCCTTTCTGAAATATAGCTCAAGTCCTATTCTACTGGTGTCCTCCATCTCCAGCAAGGGACTTTAGCCTTTCTCAGGATGTTCAGGGCCCATGAAGCCTGAATGGCTGATAAGAAACCATTTCCGGAGAGTGCAGGTGAGTGAACACATATAAAGGTGATTGAGGTAGGCCTGGGCTGGCCATCTCACGGAGAGCTCTAAAAATAGCACCCTTAGCCATCTGTCCTGGAGGGGCCACCAGCACTGGGCCTGGATGAGATGTTTCCTCTGCCCCGAGAGGCTGGGGGGATTCCTGGAAGACCTGGAGCTTCTAGTCAGGTGGGGGAAAGGACAAATTGGGGCATTCCCCACCAGCCCTCTGTCCCTGGGCCAGGAATGGCTCAGTGGGGCTGGCAGTCCCTGTCAGTTCTCGTAGAATGAGTGGCAGGCCATGAACCTGGCCTCTCCACCTGTGCTCCCATGCCCGACCCCTGAGCCCCATGGTCCTTCCTGGTGCTGAGCCTTCTGCCTTCATGATTAAGGAAGTCTCTTCATGGGGCTGACCCAGCTCCTTTCTCCTGTTTGGATGCTGAATTACCTCACCTCTCAAAACTTTGTTTTCTTCATTTAAGACATGGGAATAAATTCAGCTCATGCCTGAAATGATATAGTACCCCAAACCCCAAATTGCTGCTGAGTCAATTCCAACTCATGGAGACCCCTCACGCGTTTCTGAGAGTGTAAACCTTAACAGAAGGAGACCGCTGGTCTGTCTCTTGAAGAGCAACTAGTGGATTTGAACTGCTGGCCTTTGGGTTAGCAGCCCAACATTTAATTTATTACACAACCAGGGCTCATGTGTACAGTAGTTGTTTAATAAATATCTGTCCTCTCTTTCTAAGGCCCAGTGGAGACTGCAATGGGCTGGCATGGTGTTGTGTGCTTGGGCAGTCCTGGTTTCACCAAGCACTGGAAGTCACCAAAGTCCTAAATGACGCCTACATGGGGGTTGGAGCACACTGCTTCAGAGGGGGTTCTATGCCAGGCCTGGCTGGACCCTAGTCTGCAAATGCCAGGCTAGATGCAAGTGGCCAATCAGCTGCTCTGGGAAGGGATTAATTTCTTCCCTTCCTAACTCTGCCCCCAACTCCTTACTTGCATAAGGACCATAATGGAGTGACCAGAGAGAATCCCCACAAGGGCATCGTAAATAGCAGGTTAGGGGCAATGTCACAGGCTCCCACTCCTGCCTTCTAAATACATTCCCACGGGTTCTGGGCCACTTCTCCTCGCCTCTCGCAGGTAGGACAGCACAGGGGTGGTCCCAAGCTGGAGGAGAGGCTCTCCCATGCTGAGGAGGGTGGAATCTCATCCCTGATTGTAGGAGCTGCTTGAGCTGTCTAATTCCAAATGCCACACTTCCCCAGGCAGCTAGAGTTGGGATGCTGTGGTGAAGTTGGGGTTCAGGTTGACACCTCATTCAGAAGGCCCTTGAACGAGCCTGAGCAAGGCCATAGCGGGTAACTCCACAGCTCCTGTGAGGTGGAGACATTAAGCATTGGCTGGGTGTGTGTGCGTTCAGCAAATGGGAAGGTGGAAGGAGGGAGAAGGAAGGGCCCTCCCCTTGGGGGCCCCCTCCCCCGGAGACTCCCCTCCCTTTTCTGGCCAGGATATAAACCCCAAGGGCAAAGCGGAGCAGAAGCAAAGGAGAAGGTCGAAGAAGGATCCACACCCCTTAAGACTTCCCTGCCTTTCACCTCCTCATCTCCTCTCTGCTTTACAAGCTGTCGCTGTAAGTGGCTGGGGGCCAGGGTGGTCAGGGCGGAGCACCCAGGCTTTTCCGTGGGAAGTTGAGGGCAAGTGGAGGGGAACTCGATGGGAGGAGGGCCAGCAGAGGTGGAAGGAGAGGGGCCTGGGACCCCGTGGTGCCAGTATGGCCTTCTCCCTCCATTGACCTCACTGGGTAGCAGCTTGGGGGGTGGGGTGGGTACTGAAGGGGGAGGCAGGCAGGGCTGATGCCCCTTAACAGATGAGGAAACTGAGGCCAGAAGCAGAGCAGTGGCCAGTGGGGCAACCTCAGCCTCCAGGCTGCTGCTGCGTCCAGCCACAGGGTATCCAAGACTGCAATGACCACTCCAATGCCACGTCCCTAGATGGCGATTGGGCACAGGTGGTGGCCAGTCACGGCCGCAGTGCTGCTGGTTCTTCTCGCCTGCCTGGGGGCGATGGTTGACGCCTACCCCTCCAGACCCGAGGCTCCCGGCGAGAACGCCTCCCCGGAGGAGCTGAGCCGCTACTACACCTCTCTGCGCCACTACCTCAACCTGATCACCCGGCAGCGGTGAGCACACGCCACGCGCAGGGTCTGGGGGCGTAGGCGGCACCAGGGCTTCGGGGCGTGGCCTGCTCTGACCAAGCCTCATCCGACCTCACCACGCCCCTCTTCCCCGCCCCCAGGTATGGGAAACGGGACATCCCTGAAGTCTTCCTCTGGAAGCTGCTCTGCCCAGGCAGTGAGGATCACCCCATCAGGTCGAGGTAATGCGCCCCCTCCCTTCAGCCCTGATCCCCTGGGTCTCCTGCCTCGTGGAAGCTTCCCGTGACCCCACCACTGTCCAGATCCAAGGCTCAACTCCCGAGTGACTCCTTTCTTTTCCACCGACAGCTCGGAAGGCGCTTACCTGTGGTGATGACCGATAACCTCCAGGGCCTCTTGGGAGATATGCCAAGCACACCAACTTCATTTGTGTGTTTGCTCCCGACCCCTGGACCTGGAGCCCCCTCCCTGCTGGCTGCTTCTGGGGAGGGTTCGCCGTTTACTGCTCGGTGCTCCTGGCCCCTGGGCAGGATGGCTGTGTGTGGTTCTCCCTTCCTCCCAAAATAAAGAGCAAATTTCACAGAAACCGAATGTCTATACATCGCCTTTTCCTTCTAGTTCGTGTCTCTGGCATTCTGCTTGGCGTAGAGGGTGGAGATGGGGCCAGGAGAGAAGATAAGACTGAGGGCTGCAGACTTGTATCACGACCAAGCTAGGGGTGGGCTCTGCCCGGAGCTAAGAGAATACACGGCTGCTCACCCTCACGCTGGGACCTGTTGGAACTGTCTAGTCCATTGAAGGGAGGTTAGAGGCTTCTTGGAATGGGAGAGGAGAGAAAGGAACACACTTAGCTCTCATCTTTCACCCCTTATCAAAGAAGGAGGGATTTTGGGGAATGGAGGGGATCCCCAGCCCTTTTCTCCTGCATTTCTTTGAGGAGGTAGATTATTAACCTCCTGGGCTGTAGTGTCTGAGATCCTAGAAAGGGCTGTGGAGGAAGGACCGTGGTGGGGAATTGTGGGGAGATTCATGTGTGTGTGTCAGGTAATTCTTAATATGCAGGAAGGGTGGTGGTGGTGTAGACTTTGCTGAGTGCTGAATTCACGTTGATGTTGTTAGTTGCCCAAGAGTGAGTCTGACCCACGTAGCAGCCCTGTGTGCACTAAGCAGAATGACACACTGCCCTGTCCTGTGGCATCCTCACAGCCATCGCTCCGTTTAATCCACTGTGACATACGCGCTGTCAGTCCATCTCTTTGGAGGGTTTCCTCTTTTTGCTGACCATTTGTTTTACTAAGCAGATGTCTGTCTCCTGGGATTGATCCTCCCTGATAATATGTCCAAAGTATGAGAGATGAAGTCTCATCATCCTTGTTTCTAAGTCCAGAATTCTGACTGGACTTCTTCTAAGACAGATTGTCCTCATTTGTTGGCAGTTCATGGTATATACAATATACTCTGCCAACACCACACACAATTCAAAAGCATCGATTCTTCTTCGGTCTTGCTTATTCCTCGTCCAGCTTTTGCCTGCATATGTGGCAGTTGAAAAATAGCATGGCTGAATTTATACTTATTGGTTAAGTCACTAATGGTGCCTTCCTGATAACAGTCATTGAATAGCCTTCTGTGTCTCCTTTTTTTCTTGAAGAAAGACACTGAATGCTGATGGTGGATGCAGAAACTAAAATCTGATCGGACTCCCTCCCCACTCTGCACTTATGACCATGATGCACTCCAGAACCTTCCTCTGGGCTGCTTTCCCCTGAAGACTGTTTCCAACCCCTCTCCTCCAGGAAGCCTCACTTGATTGCCCCTGATCTGTCCTGCTTTCTTTTGGCCCTCCCTGTTCACCTTGCTCTCATGGCCACTACTTGTCCGATGAAGTTTTCTGTGTCCTTCCTGTCACTCTTCTCTGGGGGCCTAAGGGTTCCCTAAAGAAAGACCTGTGTCTCCCCACAGAGCCACAGCCTTCTGTGTTGGGCTTTCTTTTGGTTTCTTAGTTCGGTAGGACCTGGCTGAGGCCAAGCTGGGAGATGAGAGAGAAGAATCAAGTTGAGGCCGAAAGCCCCAGCTCCGGGGAGATCAGGAAGGCAACAAAGCTGGGCAGCATCAGTGCAGGTGGCAGGGGACATGAGGGACGATTTGCAGTTAGGTGACTCTGAGAAGAGAGAAAACTCTAAGGCTGGCTCTGCCATGGCTGCACGGGAGACCCCTGCTTAGACACTTTGTGCTGAACCTCTCCCAGTCTCTCTCCATCTGCCCTGCTCAGCCTGGTTGACCAGAGGCCAAGCCAAGGGCCGTGGAGAAAGGTCCAGAGGGAGAGACAGAGGAGCAGATGCAGAGCCTGATGCAGGACATCATTCTGATGCTCTGTGCCCCATTCCCACCCCGCAGAGTCCTTCCCGTCTCTTCAGTCTATTCATCCTGAGTCGCAATAGCAGAAGTCTTTCCTAATATTGAGGGACAGTTAATTTCTTTTTTTTAAGGCTTTTTTTTTCTTTTTTTCTATATTTTATTAATTTTCATAAACATTTACAGAGATTTTGGGTTTCCATTCATTCCTTGTTGCACTATTCTCTCTACCCTCCTCCCAGTTTGTTCTTGTCCAAATGCCACAGTGCTTGTCAAAGCCAGTTCTGATTAATCTTCTTTGTCAGTGTGTCCTTTGCCATTCCCTATCACTCCTCCCTGAGAGAGACTTCACCCTGAGTCATAAGGAAAAGGGGATGGCGTATTCTCTTAGCTACTTCCTGCTGAAAAGGGACGCTGTGGGTTTCAGGGTGAAGATCTTCTCTCACTACTCTAAAGGGCCCCTTTGGCAGTAGGAAACACATAGACTATTATGGAGCTTGATTTTGGGATTTAGATGCACTCTTATTGATTGTGCTTGGCCGTACATGTTCATATCCTTGAAGATGTATCATGGGGGTGTTGCAACCTAGAAGGCTCAAATTTGACTAACAAGTTATAAGTACATGAGTCCAAAAATTATGGAAAAGTAAAAGAAAAGATTCTTTCATTGTTTTACAAACCCTCCCCCAGGTCCCCTCCACCATGTAGCCCTCGCTCTAGTCTCCTGTGATGACAGAAATACCTAGTTATATATCTCTTTTAAACAGTTTTCTCCCTCCTCTGTTTCAGTGCAGTATACATTCTTGAACCCATCTTACTCAGTCTCTCCCCAACAGTGGCATCATGTAATATTTGTCCTTTTGTGACTGGGATATTTCACTCAGCATAATGTTCTCCAGAGTCAACCATTTTGAATAATATTGCATGAGTTCCTTGTTTTTTAATGCAGCATAGTATTCCATTGTGCGAATATACCACAGCTTCTCTAGCCATTCGTTTGTTGATGGGCACTTAGGTTGTTTCCAACTCCTTGCTATTGTGAACAAAGCTGCAATAAACATGGGTGTGCAGGGACAGTTAATTTCTGATTCCTTATTATCCAAGCCCTTAGATTCTCTTAAATGATCCTGTAACCCTCACAGAGGGAGCTCTGATGGCTTAGTCCATAGGAAGTCATGCTGCTCACCCAAAGGCATTGCCTCTCTGACAGTTTGAATCCACCAGTGGCTACAAGAGAGAGAAATGTTCAGTGTCCTCCAGGCAATTTACCACCACTGAAATCTAATGGAAGGTGAGCTATGAGTTGGTTACAACATAACAGCAAATAGAGAATGAACAACACGAGATGACGAGATGACCCCTCGCTGGACTTAAATAAACATGATCCTCGAGAACATCTGGAAAGCTTTGATAACCCCTCTACAGTTAGTATCATAAACAAGGCCCTGGAGGGTGCACTTCTTTCAAACCATCAGTTGAAAGCTTGCCTGCTGGCCCTGCCCTTTCCTCCCACACCCCTGCTCTCTCTGCTTGGTGACCAACCCCGGTGCTTCACCTGGTAGTTCTAAGTGCATTGTTCTCCTCAGGGAAATGTGAATGCAGTAAACTCATTAAATTCTATGGCATCTCTCTCTTGATTTGCACTTGGCTGCACCGCACCTCATCCAAGAGAACACAGTTAGGACACTCTCTCCACTGGAAGGCTGTTATCTGAGACCCATTTCCTACTCTGTTTTACCCCTGCAATCTCCCCCAATTTATCCTTCCCCTGCTGCACCAGGTCAGGTGGGAGTGGAAGCACAGAACAGCTGTTTTATAGTTCAGTGCTGTGGTGGAGGGGTGTGGAGTGGAGGGAAATGTGCCTGACCTTCTCGTGTGCCTGGTCTCCTGTCTGAGAAAGCTGTGATCAGTTTAAGGTTAGTGGGAGAGGGATGTGGTGTGGACTGTGAACGGCCATGGGCACTTTCTGCCCGGCTTGCTACGGCTGGTGGACCATCAGTGACAAGGCCTCATCCCGTGCTCCCATCCGGAAGTGTGGGGTGATGTTTAATTCAATGCTGATCAAACCCAAGCAAGGTCAGAGTCAGAGGCAAACTTAGATGTGGTTATAACAATGATGATGATTATAATAACACTGATGATGATTATATTAACAGTCTGTAGCTTTGAAAAAACACTTATTTAATAGTGCTTGAGAAGAGACCTTGGTGGCCCAATAGTTAAGCGCTGGGCTACTTACTGAAAGGCCACTTGTTTCAGCCCACTAGCCGCTCTGTGGAAGAAAGACGTGATAGTCTGTTTTCATAAAGGTTGTAGGAAACCATATATGGCAGGTCTACTCCGTCCTATAGGGAGCTCTGGTGGCCTAGTGATTAAGGAGCTGTGCTGCCATCCCAAAGGTCCACAGTTTGGATCCATTAACTTCTCCATGGGAGAAAAGTGGGCCATCTCTTCCCATGTGATTAAACTGCTTCTCAAAACCTGCTGGAGACCATTGGGTTTCTGTGGTTGTATTTTCCCTTCCCCCTTGTTGTGTTCCATTGAATCAGATCTGACTGGCACCGGAGGAGATCGCCCCTCCTTCTCCAGGGGAGCATCTGGTGGATTCAAACCGCGTGTTTCTGGGATTGCAGTGCAGTTTCTTGCCACCAGGACACCAGAGCTCCCTTGGACGTTTCTACTGACGGAGATTGGCCATCTTTTGCTTACGGAGCAACTGGCTCCATGAGTTAAAATCATTCATCTTTTGGTTAGTAGCCTACACTTCATACACTGTATGTATATGTATAGTGTACAAAGCTCCTTGTTTTCTTTGCATACATTACTTAATTTAAAAGAGAGAGAGAGAATAGATAAAGAACAAACCAAACACAAAAAACCCCAACTCTCTCTCACACACACAACCAAAACCCAAAAAACCAACCCAGCTGGAGGGTCCGTTATGTACAGTGAGCTGTAGTTCACTGGTACACAGCAACTCCATCATACAGATCACTGAGCTAGAATTGACTCCAAGCA